GTGTGTGTGTGTGTGTGTGTGTGTGTGTGTGTGTTCGCACTTCTTGTCACTCACTTTCGACTCGAGAACCAGAAAAGCTAGAAGGCTGAAACTTTGGGAGTATGTGCCCATACCGTGCACGACCCTCTCAGTTTAATATCATCCTCTGCCTACGCCTGGGTGTCGCGTCGAGCGCTTTAAAGAAATACGCAAATTTTTTGGTGGGAAAGCGATCTCGAGAACCAGACAAGGCAAGGGGAAAAAACTTTGTAGGGATATTCCCTATGCATGTATGAACTGAGGATCTCAAATTCAGCCACGAGATATGCGTGGTACTCATGTAAGGGCGAATGAAAATTTTGGCAGGAAAATTACTAACTTGGAAACTAGGAAAGCTAGAAAGCTGAAATTTGGGGGACGTTCCTTGTCTAAGAACAATTTAAATATTCCAGATTTAGCCTTCAGATGTGCGTGAATCTCACGTGAGCGCATGAAAGATTTGGCGGGAAAATTACTAACTCGGAAACGAGAGAAGCTAGAAAGGTGAAATTTTGGAGGAATGCCCCCTGCTCAAATACAACTTAAATATTTCAAATTCAGTTTTCAGATATGCGTGGTTCTTACGCACAGGCACTTAAAAGTTCTGGCGGGAAAACTGCTTACTGAACAGCTAGGTTACTTTTAAAGAACGACCGTTAAATGGAAATTGTATATTCACTTTATGCAAAATTTCTGTGATTTATGCTAGTGACCGCAAAAAATAGGTGTAGAGCCAAAAAACATGTTGCAAGGGGTTTTCTTAATGCTCGAATTGATAAGGCATGGAACTATTTGCTTTTGGAACTCGATCGCGCTCATTTCGTTGGAAGGTTCGCTAGCTCTATTAACAGCCCTGTTTTGTGGCCTCTCCTTCTCAGCCATTGTGCGTTAAGATGCTAATTTTCCATTGCGCTGATTTTAAAGACTGTGAGGTGCTTTTGTTCTTTTGTGTTTCGCTTTATTTGTCCAAGCACATGAAATATGTGTGCTAGTTTATATATATCCTGTTTGGCGACTAAATAAAATACGAAATGAAAGGTGTACAGCTATAGTTGGTGTTTATGTCAGTGACGTTGTCATCACAATATTCTGTGACAGTATAATTCAGATTAAATGGCGTTTTATTAGCAATTGGAAAAACAGTTGTTGGGAAG